CCATGGCCAAGGCAATTCCACACGACGAACAGCCCACATAATTTCTCTAAGACAACGATGCTCATCGTTAAGTGGATTCTTAAGCCAAAAAGCCACATTGCTCGGGTCATTAAGCCATTTAACCCAACTCTCATAACCCCTCAAACTTGAAACCACATCAGCCAACTTTCCCATCACTTCTTGTCTAACAAAAACATCCCCTTTTGATCCAGACCCCTGCATCTTCGCACTCGAAATCACCAAGCTCCTCAGCGTTTTCGGGCAATGCTGTAATATCGTATTAACAATGAGAAGATTCATTTCAACCACGCCAGTATTCACAATCTGGGGCCTCAATTTCAGAGGTAAATCTCCGCTTGTGCGAGTCCCAGACAAGAACCCAACTTCGAAAGCAACTGTTATTTCGCAGTTCATATAATCATCGTCATCATTATGACGCAGGAACTTCAACCTGGACATTTCTCCATCTTCAGAAGACGGAGAAGGGCATGGACAGATATTAAGTTGAAGAAACTTGAGATTTGAAAAAACCCTTATGATACCAGGAACGACCGCTTGTGGGATGTGGTTATGTGAATGGAAGCATGGAAGAGAAGCATAGTCCTCATCAGGATACGATAATCTGAGGGAGATACTGTCAAATTTGGAGATGAGAGAATGCAAGTTCTTGGAAACAGAGGAACAGCGTATGAGAGTTTTGGGGTCTTGTCGGATTTTGGACAGGATTTTAAGGATTAACTCTTCTGGTAGTTTCTTGAACTTGTCTGCCAATCTAGCAGATCTTCTTGGCGTCAAGTCTTGATCTTTATGCTGGGTCTTCTTGGATTTTCCCATTTCTTGAAGAAACTAGGCAGGATAGGATGCTGGATAAGGAAGAAAGTCACCATTTTTGGTGGCAGTTGATAGGGCTTTAAAAGGTGTGCGCTGTGGACATGCTTGCTTACACATAAGCATCTGTTTGATAGTTGAAGCACCCATGGAACTTGTGACTTCTGTCGAAGTAAATGATGTGTTTAGATACCGTTTTATTATTGACTCTGCATAGAAAACAAACTCGACTCGGACGGGTCGAATTTATATTGAAAACTGGTCTGAAAAAAGAAAAAAAAACTCACCTAAAAGATTAAAAATCATATGAAATTAATATTTATAACAAAGCAAATTTTTATATATTTTATTTGGTTGATGAGAGATATTGTAAAGTAAAATGTAGAGATTTTTATTTTATTCTTAATAAATAGAAATTATTGTTTTCATTTTAGTTTATAACAAGTATTATTATTTTTAATTAACTTGAAATGGTAATTTATCTTCATCAAAATGACGTTAAAAAAAAATTGATTATTGTAAAGAAAAAAAATAATCCATTGCTACTGCTAAGAAGATAATATAATTATAATATAATTTACTCAATTATTAAATTATTTCTCTAAATATATTTAATAATAAAATCAATCAATAACATATGAGTAAGATATTTGCACCAATTCAAAGGTCAGATCTAATATGGTTAAAAATGCAATATAATAATTTCAAAACAAATCCATATTTATTGTTATCATTCAATCCCCCAACTTTCATTGTTAAAATCCAATACAAATAAAAAAAACATAAAATAATAACAAGTACAAGCATCATAAAATTATAACTAATAAGATCACCACACAAAAGTTTCAATCAGATGTCTCATGCAGATTCATTGAATTACCTGATGAAGTGATTGTAATCGTCCTGAAAAAACAAGAGACCTTAAAACTTGTATTTGTTGCCCCACAGTTTGCTAGCACTTGCAATGACTTGTCTCCAAAGCTGACACTATCTTAGATAGGTTCTTGTATTCAGGTGAGGCTAGTGAGTATCTCCCATGCTGGAAATCACATTACCACGTTCCACAATCGGCATTCACTGCCCTCATGAAAGTGTTTGGTAATATGAAATCTCTTAAAATTAAGCTTTGCCCTTTCCCTTCACTAATTTCTTGTTATGGAGTGCATCATGGACATGCTTTCGCAGCAAGCTGATGGAAGAGGGCATGAACAATAAAATCCTCTCATTTATGTATGGATTTTGAGACTGGATCTTTGTCACGTGATGATGAAGGGATGTTATCCCATGAATGTAACAGGTTCTATCTGGAAAAGATTGATAATTCTCTGATGTTATCCATTTCTGTTGTAATATTATGTCACCAGCCTAAAACTCTGAGTAGCGCAGTGATTTTGAGTGCTGGGATACAGGGACATAGTTCAGAAGGTAAGGTGGGGTATTGATCAGAAGAAGGGAAGGTGTTTGTGGATTCTAAACAGCTGGCCATGCCTTTTATTTTTTATTTTTAATACAAGAGTGAACAAGAGCTGGCCTAAGAATCTGCAGAATCTGGTTTATTGGCGTAAGAATCATGAGGAAAATAAGCATCAGCTTGGAGAGGAGTTGTGGCTTGTTCATAAATGGAAAGGAGAGAGATGCAATGTGAATAAATTGAATGTAAAGGAGAGAGATGTGAAGGAGTTGCTGGGGCTTTTGACGAGGACGACAAAGATGAGAAACAATGAAAATGCAGATTTCTTCTGACAGTAGTAACTTGGGTACAATGGTAAGTTCTAGGGTTTGCTTTACTGTCTAAAGTTAGAAAATAATTCTTTAGTTAAATAGTATATCTTGAATTGTTACAAATGTGCATGATTTTAATTTGAGGATGGAAATGTAATGGACTGCGCTGTGAAGTTGTTGTTTCCTTAATTGAACATGTAAGCGTGATTTTTTTAGTTCAAGGATGCAGGTGTAATAAATTGAAAAGGTGGGAAAGATAGTAACATCTGATGTGAGTAGCATGCAACTTTAACAGAGAACTCTGTGTCTCATTTGAACTAAACTAACAATATACGCACAGGTATCATGTGCCACAATTTTATGAACTTTTTATTCAGATTTAAAGGAGAAAATACTAATCCTACTGAGCATTACATTCACAATCTGCTTCCATATCGATTGCCTCAGAGTATGCATAGCTGAACAGCATAACTGATAATCAAACCTAAAAATCTGAATAATTTATCTCTATAGGGGAAAACTGACAAGCGTAAGCTAAAAATCAGGAATAATTTATGGTGGTTAGAGAAGCATTGTTGATTATTCTGGCCTTTTAATGTATTGTGATGTTACGGCTGATGGTTTTGATTGTGTCTTGTATAATATTATTTATGCTATGCTTTGTTTATTGCTCTGCCTGCCCTCTTGATACACTTTATCATGCTCAAGATGAAACAGGGTGCAGATAGTTGATTAATTGATTGTAGAATTCTCAAGAGAAGTCAGTCAGGCTTCCTTTTGTTACTCTTTTGCAGACATGTTGCTTTTCTTCTTTCTTTCTTTTTCTATCAATTTTCTTTCTTGATCATCATTAGCTACTTCATAAAATTCCAAATTGGCTCGAACAACAGACTTGAAAGCCTTAACTCTCATTTAGAACATCTTTAATTAAATGGAGAGGAGCCTTGTCACATCTTTGAGTCTTTGACAGTGAATTACAAAACTGTGATGTTTGTCATTAAATTGAAAAGGGGTGAAAGATAGTGACTTCCAACATGAATAAAACACCTGGTTTCTCAGTGATCGAAACCAATGTATACACACAGGATTATGTGCTAGATTTACAGGAATGATTTTTACAAATTAAAGAGTAGAAGATCCCAATTCTATTGGGCATTACGTGCTGCTTCTGTATCTACTTGCTTCTAAATCTGCATAGCTGAATAGCATAACTGATAAGCGAGCGTATTAGTGTTTTTAGGAGAAAATGCATGATTTTTGCAAATTGATTGTTTTTTTTTTCTTTTAACTTTTTGACTCAAAAGAAAAGCTATAAATATGTTTGGTTAATAATAACTTTTGACTTGAATCAAAAGGTTGTTACAAAATTGAATAAAGATTTTGTATTAATCAAATTTTCAACTTGTAACTTATTAATTCTAACTTTCCTCTTCAAAAAAGTTGTTTCAAGTATTTGTTTTTTTAACAAACCTGTTTGTAACATAAACTCATTACTGTCATAAGTTATTTGTGAAAAATAACTTTTGAATCAAGACTCAAAGTCAAAAATTAGTTGAAAACAAACTTTGAGTAATAAAACATGAAATTGATGGAAGAACTAGATTACAATAATTTGAAAAATCTAGGGACAGTATAGAATAATTAATAGTTTTGCTAAATTAGAGACTAATTATATTTAACTGTATAACCAAATGATACATGTGCTTGTCACATGTGTGTTCTTGCATGTTTTTATGGCAGGTAGTAGGTGCAGATTAACTTCCATATGAGCAATTTCATTTCTTTTTTCTGTTTGGTTCTGTCCTCATTCTGCTTCGAACTTACCGATGCTTTGATATCTTCCCTCAAAAATCCTAATTTCAGAGCACAAAGATTGATCACTCAATCGTTTGAGTGTGAGTTCAACTCTAAACTGATACTTGAGGAACCTGAGAAGAGTGAGATCTAGGTGTTATACTTGAAGGTGGAGGCAGCAACTTTTTAATTCTGTCATTCTCAGTCTCTGGTTAGGTTTTGCATTTTCAATTCAAACTAGGGTTTCAATCCTTTTTCCTACAGCTGATTCTTTCATTTTTTTATTTTGTTGATTGGTGAAGTCAAGTGTATCTAGTCTTGATTTTTGAGTGAAAAGTAATTCTGAAACTTATAATCTTTATGAGAAAAAATCTTGAAACAATTAATGTTGTAGTCGGTCATCATTGCTTAATTCATTGTTTTTCGGAAAATCCTTGTAAGATTATGATTTGTTTTGCAGGTGAGATTATTGATGCCTTGCCAACCATATTTAACTTATACTAAAACTGCGTCCTCTTTAATTTCAGGAGAAACCTTTGAATCCCATCTTTTGGAAAGAAATGTCTGTATCCAAATTGACCAAGAAAGACTGTATTTCAGAT